ATTTGAAGGCAAACTGTTAGGTTGATATGTAAAACTATATCACTTATTTTGTTGCAATTCTTTGTTCTTAAATTAATATATACATTTTTTTTTTTACTAAATCGTATATCGTCAAGTATATCGTTATCACAAAAATACCCTGAAATATCGTGACATTCTTTTAGCGACATGTTGTCCACCCCTAGCTTACTGTAATGGTAATTAATGTTAACGTTACATTATATACAGCTGGGTAGCTTGTAAATTTCCAATCTGGAGCAAAAACCACTGATGTGTTATCTTTATCCATGATCATTACTGACTTTTTGAATATGTTTTGTAATATTAATCTAAATCTGTAAAGTAACAACAGTTATTAAATAACGGTAGTGGAGGACAAAGTACAATATTTGCCTCTGCATTGTAACGGTTAGTGGAGTAAAAGAATAAAATAGTAAAAAGTCGAAATACTCATGTAAAGTACAAAATACCTTAAAATTGTACTTAAGTACAGTAACGTTATTTCAGTTAAACGTAGTGGTGTACTTACTAACGTTACCACTGCTAATGATCCTAACGGTCAGACTTTTAAAGTATTGACTGGCAGCAGTAACGTTAAGCAGATAACATTAATCAAAGTTAGTTGGTATTATACACAAATAAGACGACATGCGACGCATATCACATCTTCTTACCTGGTTCACAAAGCAGAGAAGTCATCATCTGCGTGTGTCTCCACCTCCCTAACAGAAAAATAAACATGGAGCTAATTAACGTGCAAACACCTGTTACAGTTTTAAGCTAACGTTGGCTAACTGGGAGACGTTAACGTTACTCGTCGTTTTCCCAAAAACAAAATCGGTATAAAACCGCGATTGGTGGCCTCAAACCTCAACAAAACCGACACAGAGCAAGAAGATATGACATAGAACAAAATTTTCACCGTTAAAATGAGTTAATATCGTGAATAATATAATTAAAAACCTTAATTGGACTCCGTTCCGCTCATCTCTGCAACCTCAACAAACGTTATGACGCGCGCGCGCAAGAGGACGTCAACCGTCATCACGTTCGCACATGCGCACACAGAGTAGGAAATGTCGCTCAGGCGGACCATTGTAACCTAATTAGTGATTTATTAGTGACTGAATTACAGTAGAAAGTGTATTTTAGCTTGGTTTTTAATTTTTATGGTGATTTTAGAGAAGTTGACATTCAATGACATAGACCCAATCGTTTAGGTAGTGTCAGTACTGAGATAATGTTAAACTGAACATTAAAAACTGAAAAGCTGGCTGAAAAATATGTTTTCTTCAACTGTGTGGCATTCAGTGCCCAACAGATTTATATCAATAAAGGTTTATCAAATATTATTAATTGACATATTTATGGTCCAGCATTAATTGTATTCATCACTAATGTGACAACTTTGTTTTTGCAACATCTTTGATATGTGAATGAGATTATTGAGACATCTAGACTTTTGAAAAATAATTTGATAAAATATTATAAAGCAGCCAGTTAAAGTATAATTCATTATCAAATGTAACACAACAGTCCAGCCTTTATATTTACTCAGTGTCTTTTAGTGTAAAATGTTACAGTACTTCATATTTTTTAAGTAAATTGAGAATTTAGAAAATAATGTATACAGTAAAAATTTGATTCATACTTCAAATGGATACAGTTATGTTGAAAATTAAGCTTTAGTTTGTTCTTTTGGCTGGATTTATGTATTATAATTTCATCTGAATTTATCCACAAGGTGGTGCCATAATATCTGAAGCAGATACAGGTGGCAATGTTGGTGATACATTTGATGATTATCTGAAGTAAATGTAATCAGTCTGGCAAACACTGGCAATGTGGCCTGTAGTTATTAAGTTAACAACAACAATAAACATGTTATGTTAAACTGAATTAAAATTCCTGTCAGACGATGGTCATGTGACTTTTATTTTGTGTGTGGTATACTCAAAACTTTTATGTTACTGTATTGTACTCAACTAAACGTTTTGAGTGCAAGCTGTTTCCAAAAACAGTTTAAGTTGAGTGGGTGAATTGGGGTTTACCAAGCAGCATTCTTTGCAAATGTTTGTGAGCTGTTGTCCTATTGATAGTTCATAAGTTTAGGAAAGTAAGACTGGTCGAAAACTTTTACCCAAGCAAATTTAATTCAAACCTCAAACTGATCAAAGATACATAAGCTCATAATAATAACATGAACAAGATGTGGGTTATAAAATGCATTGCCTGTCAGCTCTCAATCATTATCAGTGATTTAATAATAGATCCAATACATGATATGATATGAGTTTTAACATTTTAAACAATGAAAATGATCAGCATGGAATCCTGCTCAGAAAGCTGTGATGTTTGATCCAGGTCTTCACAAAAATTTAAGATGACTCTCTTATAATCATCAGAGTGCAAATCAAGCATAATTCTAATTAAACAGCTTGTAATCTGAGTTTCATTGGCAGCATCCTCAGTGGAAGTGCATCTTCATTTCTGAAGTATGAAAACAGTTTCCCTGTAAAAGTGTGTGTGAAGGTGTGTATGTGTGCATTAGTATCAAGATCAAAGAATGACAGTTTGCCTTTGTCAAAGTCCAGATGAACTCTGATCCTCTGAAGCCTCTTCTGCACTGGGAGAGTAGTGGCCGGATGTGGTGAGGAGCGTGCTGTGTATTTACCATTATAGAACATTATTCTCCATAATCCAGACTGTGGTTGTTCTGTCCCCTCATTAGCTGCCACACCAACTCTCCAGCATGTACTGTCCCCAACCTCAACATCCCAGCTGTGAGTGCCTGAGTTAAAGCCCTCGGAGCCCCGGACAGAGAGAAGGTATTCAAACCTCTCTGGGTTGTCAGGAAGCTTCTGCCTCTCTCCGTGTCTCACACTGGTCAGATCTTCAGTCAGGATGAGTTCTGGATGAGCAGTGTTTGGATCCAGAATCACAGGAGTGTAGGAGACCATGTCTTTCATCTTGTTCCAGATGTTGAAGGTCAGGTTGCCCAGATGTTTGGCCTCATCTATCAGAGCTCCTGAGACCAGCTGTGGATCATCCAGCAGGGGGCGCTGCTGGACTCTGTCCACTGCAGACTTGTAGTTCTGCAGGAATGAGATGTCTTCAGCTCTCAGCGCGTCCTCTGTGGCTCTGATTGTGTCTGAAAGAGCTGCTATCTCTGTGTTCAGAGCCTCAATCTTCTCCTTCATCATGTGACTCTTCTGCCCCTCTTCCTCCCTCAAAGCAGAGATCCTGGCCTCCTCTTCCTCTCGTAGAAACTGGTGAAGTTTCTTAAACTGCTCCTTAATCAGCCTCTCTGTGTGTCGGGCCTGGACCTTAATGTGCTCTGCTGTTTGATCACAGTTACCTTTAACTAGTTCAAACAGCTTCAGATTCTCCAGTAAAGACTTAAGGGATTTCTGCAGATCCTCTTTGTGATCCTGTGCAGCTTCATCGATGGGTCTGAATCTGTGGTTGTTGTGTGTTGTTGAATGTAGACAGATGACACACACCGGCTGTTGATGTTCCAGACAGAAGAGTTTAAGTCTCTCTGAGTGCAGACTGCAGAGAGTCGCAGACCTTTCTGCCATTTTTTTCTGCAGGTAATGCTGGACACTCCAGTTAAAAAGCAAAGTCCAATATGCTCTCTCTTTTGGATCAGATTTTTCTATGTTTCCATCCACTCTTCCATCACTCGAGTTTTACAAGTTTTGTCTCCTGTCGCTATCCTTCTGACAGTTGTGCTGTGGTGTGTCCCGTGGTACTTGCCTTATATCCATGCAACACATATAACCTGTATTTCTTATATGTGTCTCAGGTGACTTACAAAAGGGGTGGAACTTTGCATGCCCTTTACTGAAATATTCAGTCGCAAGCGTGAGTTGTTTGACAAGATAAACAACATACTGATCATTGGCTATTATTAGAAACTTAATTAGTGGTTGAGCTATCAAGACTTAAGAGTCTACAGCCACACAAGCTGTTCTGTGAGGCTGTGCTTTGAGCTAAATACTGATGTCAAAGCTAACATGCGCACAATGGCAGTGTTAAAATAGGTATGTTTTGAAAGTGAATAAGTATATGCACATCACATGACGTGAAGGAGCAGTGACTCTACTACGAGCTTCAGGTGATTACATGCATATAGTCTTTTTCAAAATAAACTTACAACATACAAATAAAAACACCTAATTTTTATATTTATTTTCTTAAGTTACACAACTAAAGTACTTGGTTAATTTAAGAAAAAAACACCATGACATGGCTTGTTACTACTATCATCATGTAACATCACGTGACATACATCACTACTGTAGCATGGTACACATACCAGCACACTACGCTGCTATAAAAATTCCTTGGTTTAACAAAGAAAATGAACAGCAGGCTCTTGGGTGAAAGTTTGTTTGACCCACTCACCACCCCTCCCTCCCGCCCTATGTGGGCATTCTTGCTCTTTATACCATGGTAGTTGCTGGCAGCATTACAGACTGTCCTTTGCTGTTGCATTTCATAATGCCACAAAAGGTGCCTTTGTGTGTCAGTGTCTGACGTGGACGTCCACTGACGAAGGGGCAGTATTTGATGACTACAGCTGTCGATGCTGCATCAACAACTGCCGCCATGCGGTGCGTATCATATCACTATGATAGTGCCTCTGTGTGTCAGCATCTGATGTTGAGATCACTAAGAAAACGGTGGCATCTGATAAGTTTAAATCCTGGTTTCTCGTAACACTACTATGCTGATGATACCCCCCTCTATGTGATAATATTGCCGAATTGCACTTTGTAGCCACAGGGGTCACTGTTAAGCAAAGGTTCAAGGCTTTAAGCACTGGCCGAGGATTGGATTTAGGTTAGTGTCACAGGTTTCTGGTGTGTTGTGTGTGTTGTGTGTGTGTGTGTGTGTGTGTGTGTGTGTGTGTGTGTGTGTGTGCATGTGTCTCATGTTTCCTTGTTTTACAGAGTGTTATCTGATCCACATCTCATCTTCACACTGAGAAGCTGATCCTGCACAGCTCAGCGTCAGTCACAACAAAGGTAAATGAAGATATTTAACAATTATCTAATCTCATAATTTCATAATAAGATTTCAGCAATGTATAATCTCTACTATATGAATAGATACTGCTTGGTGTGTGCTATATCATGTTTCCAATGCCTTTGATTTTGTACTTCTTTGTTCTTTTGGTTGTGAAAAACATTAGTTTGTATCGTATTGTGCTTTTTACAGTGGTGTTGTGATGTACAGCAGATACTTAAGAAAACATTTTACCCTGATGGGTTTCTTCTCTTTTGTTTTTACAACTTAAAAAAAATGACAGCTGACATTTTACTATTTATACCCTAATCATACTGAATTAAGACTCAAAAGGTTCCTCTTGAGTACTTTCCAGATATTTTGAACTAGAGACAAAATGATAATATGAAGAGTGAAACTCATCCAGTGTATGATAGGAATCTCAACATGAACATTTGACAGATTTATCTGACCAAAATTTTGGATTTTTCATCAGGTAGAGATTTACTGGCATGAAGAAATGCATGTTTTTGGGCATTGACTGTTGGTTGCACCAAGATCTTCTTTGACCCCAGATTTGTTTGTAATAAACCTACATATTTAAGTAAGAACAACTGAGGCCCATCAAGTTATTCTTTCATTAATCTGAGTGAAGACTGACACCTGAAATGCAAGTTTTCCACATCAGTTCATAAATAAGTCATCAGAATTTAATGACAAAAAATGTAATTTTTTGTTATTTCCAAATTGACCCACATGAGTGTTTTTGATTCGACACCCCTACCGACCTGAGTTATTGCAGATTCATGTGACTGTTTTCTGATCTGCCACTTGTATGGTTAGACATTTGGTTAATTTAAGGCAACAAAAACTATTTGGTTATGTGGTATTGTTTTAAGAGATCAACACTGACTGTTGGTAGGGGACGGGACGCAAACAGGATTGACCCTTGTCAAAGTCAGATGAGCCTGTTCTCATTCCCAGGTTGTTAAATACCAAGGCTTTCTGGCCCTTGGTGTGTGATATTGACGCCAAGGGCACCCTTTAGCTTGTTTATGGCACACACCAGGCTTTCAACTAACTACATTATTAACCCACCTGTGGCAATACTTGACACTGAAAGCAGCTGACGTAGTATAGAGAGCAACAACGGTCACGTAGAGAAGGATGGAGGGGAAGTGGATGGATCAAAGAAAAAAAAGAACAGGCTTCTACCCTGAAGACCGCAGTTCATATCACATTTGAAACCAAAAAGTCAATGCTTTACTGTAATGCTACTTCATTACATTCCTGCATTCTGTTGTTTTAACATAGTCTTATGTAACGTACCTATAGTTGTCGCGTGCTGACGTCATTCATGACAAGGTGTAAAACAGAGTGGTTGCAACTTCTAAACCATTGTTGCAGCTGGGAACAAAACATGGCAACCATAGTTACAGAAATCATCCAAAACTGACTCCGTTTTTTTTAAGTTCATTTAAAATGCGAATGTGTAACAGAATTTGAAGCTCTGTGATTGGATGCTTCTAACCAAGGTGCACCTTGGGAGCTGTAGTTCTTGTCTTTCCTTCAGTTTGTGTGTTCATCTTTTGTCCTGATGATTCAGCTTGGAGAGTTTTATGTCCATCCAATGCTTGAAGAGCTGCAACTGTCAATCACCTTAAAGTGCAAATGAGAAAATGAAACAGAGGAGCCTGGCTGAACCTGGTTTTAGAGGCTTTTAAGTGCTATATCGTAGGCAACTGGACTTGCTTGAGTTTCTTTAAGAGATTCAAGCAAGTCTAGTTGCTAACATGCTTTGCATTAATGTTTCCTTGTTAGAGGAACAATGTCCATCAATGATAACAGCTGTAACTTTGCCTCTGTAGATTGCTCACATATAAATCCCTTATAATCCCTTTAATCCCTAATTTTAGCCTCATAAAGATGGAAATCAATGTTAAACTATGTCAAAATGTTAAACTGAGTTGCTAAATGAAGTTTTCTGGCAGGAGATGCGTTGCCTGTTAACAACCCAGAGCCAGAACTTCTACCGAGAGCAGATTCAGAAGGAGATGTTGACCCGTTTAGCCTGGAAGAGCCGCTATGCTAAGCTCTACCCATCCAGCTACAATCCCCGAAACAACAGCACAGAGCCAACACAGCTGCCACAGCTGGCTGCTGACCCCCGGTGAGCTGCTTTATTCACATTAAACTTGCAGTTGGAAGAGTTTTCATGTAAAACTGCAGCTCAGCCTGAATCCAGTGTGTCCCAGCTCTGTTGTGTCAAAGTTTGTTTGTCCAAATTAAATTCTGTCTTAAGTTTTGTCAAGTTAAATCTGACGTTAGTAAGATGAGATAATACTGTATAATTAATGATACACATCTTGTGTTGATGTTCCACCTACCAGGGCTGTCCTGCCTCCTGTTACCAGGACAACTGAGAAGCAGAGCAACCTTCCTCCTTCTCGTTCTCATCCTCCTCCTCATCCTCCTCCTCCTCCGCCTGTGGTCTCTTCGGAAGGGGAGGGCCAGCTCAGTGTGGCCCCGCTGATGAGGCCAGTCTCTCCTGAGACCAGACACACTCTCTATCAGGACTCCTCACATAACGTACGAATCACAGTGACACATGTTTTGTTTTAAATCTTCTGGTTACTGTTGTTTTTTTTGTTTGTTTGTTTGTTTTTTGTTTACAAGGTAACAGTTGTTATTTACTTGCAGCTTGAAATTAAAACTTGTTTAGTCTTAATGTGAAATCTTTCACAACTCTGTAATATAATGCACAATACAAAATCTTCTGCAGGGGAAAGGGCGGAGTCTGTATCTGCAGAGGCGCCGCCACATCAGACCTGAGGAGAAGTTTGATTTTCCCGTGCTCTCCTCCTGGGAGTATGGATGGAGGCTGGGTAAGTTGGCGTTACTGTCTGCTTCGCTTCTATCTGTTGGACCTCAAACTGGCAGGAAAGAAAAGAGTATTAGAAGGGGAGTTACAGAAAAATGTTAGTGACCATGACTGTGATGATAATGTTATATGATAGACCTATTACATTAAGGAATTTGGGCTAAGGGTCAAAGTGCATTAATTAACATAGGACTTAAAAAAGTACAAGTACACACCAAAAAATTACTTTGTTACGTATGCCAAATCTAATTTGTTACTTCCATCAATGGAAATTGGTTTCAAAGTGATCACAAACTTATTTAGAATTAATGAAGCTAATGTTTCTTTAATTAAATCCTGTCCTGGATTAAAGAAAGAGCTACAAGAGTCCACAGCTAAACTGGTGAGAATGAAGCTAAATGCTATTGCTAGCCTGGCAGCATGCTCACAGTGACAATGTCAACATGTTGATGATTAGCAGGTATAATGATGACCATGTTAACTAAACCATCTTAGTTTAGCATTTTAACTGAGATTTGTACTTGTGCGTCAGCTCTATGCAGAGCATACACTGTAGCAACAATTTCAAACACAAGTACACAAATCAGCTTCACTATAACTCGCAGCATTCACAGACAAAACACTTCTTCTCTTTCTCGTCTTTTGCTGGACACATTTTCCCCACAAATACAACATGCTAATGTTTTTAGCACAAGCCTATGACATTTTACATTGTATAAATTAGCCTAGCAGCTAGCGGGCTCCTCTCTACTCATATGAAGCCAGGGACAACCGCAACATTTAACAAAGGTAACATTACAAAGTTCAGCTCCAATACAACTCACAAGGTTCACTGAAAAAACAACTGTCTTATACTAAACAAATCGTCAAAACAACGTTATTGGCAGAACCATATGGCATTTTACATTGTATAAATTAGCCTAGCAACTAGCGGAGAGTTTCTCCACTCATATGAAGCCAGGATAAATCACACACAAGACTTAACATGCTATTTTTGTGGAGAGGCATTATTGTCTATACAATTTATTGTTTCTTATCTGTTAGATTGAAGTAAATAAAGTCTTTGTTTCCACTGAGGGAAATGGTTTCAGCTTACAAAAATAGACAGGCGTCACTGTGAGGGGTAATTAAATTTCTGAGGAGGCGCACATCAGGCTATGACAAAGGGTACGGTGTTGATTCGTCAAAGACATATAAATCCCACCATAGGATGCTAAATTTGCCAATTAGCACTAAACACATAGTACAGCTGAGACAAATGGGGCTGTGTTTTGCAGGTATTTGGACAGAAATTATTTTCTAAATAAAAAAATGACCTGATGGTGGCGCTAGAGGAAACGTTAGTCACAATTCATCGTTTAGTTCTAGATTAAACTGCAGTTTAAATACATGTTTTCTTTGACTGTGTCTTCCTGTATCCACAGGTGATTACTCGCTGGATTACAGAACTCCATCCTGCGCAAAGTCGTCAGTGGTGAAGAATACGTTCTATGCCAGGAACGGTGTGTTTAGCAGCCCGTCGGCCATCGACACACTGGGCTGAAGTTCTGCCTTCAGACACCAGGGGTCGCTCTCTAATGAAACTGTAGAACAGCAAACTTATATGGCTTTTATGTGACAGACACCATTCATGTTGGTTTTAAGACCAGCCCGTTTTCATTTCCAGAGCGTCGAATACCAACACCCAGGAAACCAAAGATCGTGTCCTGTGTGAAACCAAGTCACCCATATTTCAACGTAACGTTATACAATTATGTACGTTATGTAATTTCTTTTCTAAACCTAGCCACAACATTAACCTTGTGTTACAATGTGTTTCAGTTGTGTGTCACATAGACCCGTTATGTTCCCTGTACATCACTGCGAGACCCCAAGGAGTGTGACAAAGCCTCGGTATTCAACCACCTGGGAATGAGACCCGACAGCAGGTTGTTTAGGACACACACAGATTTGGATTTAATGGCCAAACAAATTCCAAAATGTGCCCCAGCTCATGTCAGTTTGGGGTTTGGGGGTATTATTAACCATTTTTAGATCATGTGAAATGGCACCTTTGGGAGTGAATATACAATCTTAGCCATTGGTAATGCTTAAATAAAACTTCCATTAAAATTGCTGGTTGTTTTTTTTTTGTTTTTTTTCATTTTACCAGGCTTTCCAATATTTCTAAAGGTAATTATTGAGTGACTTGATTTAAAAACTCTAGTGTCAGATGTTAGACATCAACAGGAAGAGCAATAAATGGTCAGATAGAACAAATCTGTAAGACCAACACACATTTACGATGAGGTTAAAGGGGTCTGTCCATCCATGTTCCTTTTGGTAACAATGATCCTTTACTTCCTGTAACACTGTCTGTTTACCATTCACACTGCTGTAAGGTTAAGTGTCTACCAACCTGATACTGTGTGTTGGATAATTAATGACCTCCTGGACAGGTATCACTCAGAAAGAGTCTGTTCATTTCTGTACACCTGATACGTCAGTGTTTTCAAACAGTGAGTCACTGGAGGAAATGTTACACACCACATCATTAAATATTTCTTATCAGTCATGGTAACTTCAGTAAGCTTCCACCGAGCAGTGCAGTTTTATTCCTGTTGTAAAAATATTTTAGTATATAAACTTATATAAATGTAAAAATAAGCTGATAATATATATTTTCCTTTTTTTCTGGGGACTATTTTTAGTGGCAATTAATCCACATTTGGTGCTCAACCCTAGTCTCTCTCCTACCTTTTCAATCACTGACACTTGGGCCCTTGGTGTCAGACACTGACGCACTGAGGTACCGTTTAGTGGTGGTATAACACGCACTGGGCAGCAGCATTTTTTGACACTCCAAGCAACTGTCATAGTACAAAGAGCAAGAAAGAGCAAGACGGGAGGAAAATGAGGTGGATGGGTCAAACAAACTCTGGACTTTCACCCTGGAGCCTGCTGATGTTTTCTTGTGTGAACCCAAAAGGCTGAGGTTTATTGAAGGTAGACATGAGAGAGGAATGTTAAAGGAGGCATATTTCTCAATTGCAGATAATTAAAACCACTTAAGTGACCCAGACAACATCACTAATGTTGATTTACTTGTTTATTGAGAGTGTTACACTGTATGAAAGATATGTTGCTTAAGAGGAAACAAAAGCAGGTTTCAGTCTTGTGTTTTCATTTTGTTTTTGAAAGTGGGGTGACAATGTGTATATGGATTACAGATTGTGCCTTTTAAATGTTGTAAAAAAATGGATTAATGTGGTGAATTGTTCACTGTGATGGATGTGTTGTACTGAGAAAAAAGAAAAGAAAACATTATTGGAAAGATAGCTAAAATGAAAGTTTGGAAAATCAGTTAAGTACACACTATTTGTGGTTGAAGCAAAACACTGGAATGATCCTTTAAGGCAGCAAGGCCACTGTTGAGCCGACCTTTTTTAACTGTGCTGATCTTCTCACTATTAATGAAAAAACATATATCATTCAATTGCTGTTAATGTCCCCCCAAACTCTGTGATGTACTTAAAATGATTTTATGGCTCAGATGTCGGAGGCTCTAGGCGGTTGGGAAGATCAGGAAGCCAGTAAAAGTGTGGCTGGTGCTGCTCTGGCTCGTCACGATGGTGTTGTACTTGGTTGCCTGCAGAGAGACCGTGTCTCCGGCCTCCAGCTGCAGGACCGCCGAGCCAGAGGTGACCAGGAAACCCTCAGATGAGTCACACAGTGCCAAGGTACTTTCAGTGCCCTTCACCAGCTTCAGACACACCTAGATGTGATCACACAAACACACAGAGGCAGACAAAGTTCTCAGATCTGTTACTTGAATAAAAGTAGCCACAGTGTAAAAAAAGACTAAATGCTAAATAAAAGTCCTGCATTAAAATTTCACTTAAATCAAAATATACTTTATAATACTTTATATACTTTACTAATATACTTTATAAAATGTAAGGTTTCAACCTATCCACTACATAATTACATGCAAATATAACATATCTGTGGTTTGCAGAAACTTGCAGAGGAGCACAACTAAGAGTTCAGTGTCACATCTCATCTTAAAATGAGAAACTGCTATCCACTGAAAGTTGAAGGGTGAAGTGTATTTTGTGTGTTTAAAGGTACATTTTTCAGGATGTGTTGTATAATCATCCTAATTCTAAACAGAAACATCAACATCTGATGAGTCTATAAAACCCTAGTTTTTGTCCATTGCAAATGTAATTAAAGTTCTGAAGATTGTGGTTAGGGTTCATCATAGTACGCATAGTTTAATGAAGTGCAGTATTTTTTATTCAAGAGTAAAATTCAGTGTGTTAATTGTATGGGTTACTTTTTAAAATCCTAATTTGAAAAGTCACTACTAGCCCCTGCTGTCAGATGAATGTAGTGCAGTTAAAAGTATTATATTTGCTCCTGAAATGAAGTCAGGTAGAAGTATGAAGTGGCATAAAATGGAAATACTCAACAAGTAGGCCTACCTAACATTTGTACTAACTGTACTGTGGTAAATGTACTCAAAAATGAAGCAAAGATGAGACTGAAGGGAGGAAGGAGACAGACAGGCTAAAGACACACACAGATATACGGGTCAGTTTTATGAGAACAAACTCTTCAGACTCACTCTGGTCTTTGCTGAAACGTGATAACTGAAGAAATAAATCCCTTTGGTGACACATGTGAACGTCCCGTTTGTTAGCGATTCTCCTTGAAACTGTTCATCCAGGTCACCCAAAATCTCTCTGTGGGAAGTTTTCACACAAACAGGTTCAGTTTTTATTATTTCAACTCTGAATTACCTCAGTACACCCATCAAATTTTATATATTTCAAACAAAAACTTCAGAAGCTGTGGAGCTGTTTGCTTCCAATGTTTTCAGGGGGACTGTTAATTGTATCTGATCAAACACTCATACAGTCCTGATGAAGCAGATTAGCTGAGTTTTTGATTGTTAATCTCTTAAAAAAATCCCCCAAACTTAATGTTGAATGTTTCTTATTTAACCATTAATGTGTAATACTGTAAAGAAACACCTCAGAGCCTTTAAAGCTGACCTCAGGCTTCAAATAAAAACTAGTTTTATCATCACAGTCTGCCTCATCATCTTGTTTCAACAGGAAGTACATCACAATGAAAACCTGAACCTTCACAGCACTGACCTGTTGAAGTTCATGGGGGTGTCCATCTCTGGCGCCTGGGATAATATCCGTTTGTAGGAAAAGAAGGATCTCTGCTGGTTGGAGGGGTTGAAGGGTCTCCCCTTCTCCCCTTTCCGGCCTGGATGACCGGGAGGCCCCGGAAGACCCACGTCCCCCTTCAGCCCCGGCCGTCCTGGGGGACCAGACATACCAGGGAACCCCTTCTGGCCCCTGACAGGCTGACCTGCCTCACCTGCTCATACAGAGAAACACATATCACATGGCGCAAGGCTGTTAGTCAGAACTGACACTAAGAAGGAACATGGATGTTAAATTCTGGCTGTAATTTAAATGTCTATATGTAGCCTGCTAAAAAAAGAACTATAAAACTAGACACTTTAATAAGAGGGAATATTTAGACATTTTACATTTCAACAAGCCCTCTCACTGCAACTCTGTCCATCCACACTAAAACGCAACCCCCGGCCAAAACTCTCACCAAATTGAACCTTAATTTCAACTTAAAAAAGTGAGTTCAAATTAATTAAATTTGAATAATCTATTTAGAGTCAGCTTGTGAGTTGCCGAAAAAGAACCAGTTCACTCAATAAGAGAAAACAAGTTCAATAAACTAAAAATTTAAAATGTAACATCAGATCTGATATTAATGTATGAGCAGAATGTCTAAACTGTGTCTGATGTCTTCATGTCCAGTGTGAGCTCACCAGGGTCTCCCTTCTCTCCCCTGGGACCGTCCATGCCGTTGGGCCCATGGGTGCCTGGTATTCCAGGGATCCCTGGGGTTCCCCCGCACTGTGTGACAACTGGAGTGATGTGAACCAAGAGCAGGAACACTGCAGTACTGCAGCTCAGCCACTGGGCGGCCTGAGTACACACAGATACACACACAAAAAAAACTTGTTCTGGTCATTAAGGACTTTAAACTGGAACCATAACCCTAAACATGGCCTTCACTAAACACCATGTCCTCATACTAAAATATAGTGTTTTGTTCTGTGGGGACCCTGCAGCTCTTTGTCCCAGTGGAAGGTTTTTCTGTTACTGACTCGATGGTCTTGAAGGTACATTGACATATCACTGTTTTCCACTTTAAATAATCTAAGGGCTTGTTTCAGAGTTGCATAATTGCCTTGAGTTGGTTTGTGTTCTCACAGCAGCATCTCTTAAGGAAAGTGCTTACAAATTGCATCCCTAATACAAATACATTAAAACCACATAAAAGAGTCCAGTTCAGAAGTTATCTGACAGCAACACAAATTGTTCTTATTCTCTGGAAATTTACAATGTTTTAGCCTCTAATACACAGATAATATAAATAGGCAATATTTAATGTGAAGATTAAGAAAGCATAATCTTAAGTTGAAGACGAATCAGGTGCTCAAGAAACAAAATACATTTGTGCATTTAAATTTAAGACATTTTAAGCCTGTTAAGGACATACAGACAACAGCTTTAACTCCTCTGCAAATAATACATCACTATGTTTAAAGGCTAAACATGCTGACAGTGATTTAGCTTCTACATGAAGAAACATTACATAAAAAGTGCTATGAAACCATTTACTCCTGAATCAAGAGTGCCTCTGTCTGAATAATGGTTTTCTCTCTCTGTAAATACTTCTTTGCCCGTTCTTTAGTGTTGTAAGACACAAAATTCTCACCATTTGCAAGTAAAGCAGTCCCTCGTCCTGTGGAGTGATACGCTGATGGAGAGCAGAGTTGAAGAGCTTCACAGCGACAGCAGCAACTGAACCAGGAAAATAAAACTACAGGAAGTGAAACACTTCAAGATAGCATGAGGGTGTAATACTGTCAGTGATGGAGTGAAACAGAATGCATGTGGGGGAGAGTGGGATCTGTTGGGACATTTTTGTATTGACATGAAATAACATTTCATTATTCACAGACAAATAACTTGATCCCTGAACAGACGCAGATGTCTGCTCACAGTTTATCAAGTTTTTTGGAGTCCAACTCAAATGTGAAAGCCACAATGTTGTAAAATGTACAAGAAATGCATTTTTTTTCCCACATTCTGCCTCCCTGGGATGGTTGGGACACCCTGTTCTCAGTAAAATTATTATACTTTCAGAAATTACTGAGGTATGGAATTTGGCTGGTTCCTCAGTCATCATTTTGGTGGCACCCT